AAACTACAAAAACCCCACTGAACATCGAATGAAAATACTCGTAAACCAAATGGACAGGCCAGGCCAGGCCGTTCAAGTGCGGGATGATACGAGTATTCTCTTTGCCCTCTTGAATGGACTCGGGCGGATTAGTTGTTTTCATGGTTTTCATTTACTTTTTGTTTGTTGTCTGTATTGTGGCAGCGACATTGCGGCGTATTTAAATATGTAAAGGATTTCCCTGCTGTTTTTTTAACCTACACAGATTTTTGTGTGATTTTTGTTGCTCTAATTTAATTTGAGTATAAATCAAATTACCATCTTACAGCGGAATAATTTCAAATTATTATACAGACTGAATGAATACACTTTTAGATTATCGGGAGAACATATCTAAATGAATTACAACCTTAAATCGAACGTATTCCTTAACTGAAGAGAATTCCCCAATGTTCTCCCAGGATACATTTTCTTTGTTTTTTTTTTTATTATTTATTGGAAGTGTTTTTTTCTCTTTCAAAAATGTTCGTTTCGTTTTGTGTATTTTGGATTGTGTGTATGCGTGTGGTGTGTGTGTGTGTGTGGATCGGCAGCTGCTTAGGGTGTAGCTGTTTTTCCCTCGTCTTCCATGTAGTATCTAAGCAAATGCTATTCCTCCTCTTCCTTTTCCTTGCGATGGGACTTTTTCTTGTCCCCACGGCTGGACGATGAGCCAGAGGTCGCTCCCGAACTGCTGCCAGCACCCGTTTTACTGCTGCGTTCGCTGCGCTCCTTTTCGCGGGATTTGGACTTGCGGCGACTGGACTTGTCGCGCGAGCGGGAACGTACACGGGAGCTCTCCTTTTTTTCTTCTTTCTCCTTGTCTTTGTCTTTGTCCTTGTCCTTCTCCTTGTCCTTCTCCTTGTCTTTGTCCTTGGTATCTTTCTCCTTCTCCTTCTCCTTGTCCTTGTCCCGAGATCGCTCCTTGTCGCGATGACGATCGCGTTCCTTCACATCGCGCTCCTTGCGCTTCTCATCCTTCAGCATGTGCAGATAGTCCTCAAAGTATTCCTCCCGATAGGACGAGTCCAAAGCACGATACCTGGGATCCGCTTCGAACTTCTTCTTGATGTCATACCAGCGCGAATGCCTCTCGATGTCGTGTCGTTCCCGCAGCATCTCGATGAAGTCCTTGCGCAGCTGCAAGATACAAAGAACAATCTCTTTAGACAATCAGCAGGATGGATGAAGGATGGATGTGACCTACCGCATCCTTCTTGATCTGTTTGTCCTTTTCCCGTCGCCGTCGTTCACGCTCATCGTCGTAGCCACCGCGATCTGAGGAGGAGGCAGAGGATGAGGAGGCCAAATTGCTGATATTTCCATTGTTGTTACCGCCCATGGGCATACGCTGTGGCGGCGCCATGCCCATTCTCATCCCAGGCGGCGGTCCATTGCCAGGACCCATCATCATTCCATGCGGTGGACCCATATCTACAATAAAACATCAAGGCATAAGTAATCGGGGCAGGGATCAGGGACCCGCATTCAGAACTCACTCATGTTTGGAGGCATTCGCATATTGGGCGGCATCATGCCGCGTAGCTGCGGAGGTGGGCCGCCCATCTGCGGAGGCGGCACATTCATTTGGGGCGGCATGCCGGGCGGCGGCTGATGGATGTGAGCGTGGCCGGGCGTCAGTTCTTTGATGCCGGTGGGCACCCAGCCGGGATTGTCGTTGCCCCATTGCGATTCCTGAGTGGGCTCGTAGCCATAGTCGAAGGGCTCTGGCTCGTGGAAGAAGGGTTCATCGGAGGCTCCGGGCGGTGGGAAATTGGGCGCCATGGGTCCCAGGCCGCCACGCGAATACTCCCGACACTCGGCGGTCATCACCTGGATGGCATTCTCCTTGACACCGCCCCCCGTGGTGGAAATGGGTCGCGGCGGTCGCTGCATCATGCCCATGCCCGGACGTGGCTGGTGCTGCATCATGTTGGGTGGCGGCATGCCCGGCGGCGGCATCTGCATGCCCCCATCGTTCATGCCCATCATGGGCGGCATGTTGTGCATCCCCGGGGGACCCATGTTCATGCCACCGTCATTCAGGATCCCAATCGGAGCGTTCTGACTCACATTCTGGGTGAGACTGGCCAGGCCGACGCCGCTTTCTGCCACGCGGAAGCGCTTCTGTCGCTCGCAGTAGGCACGCCACGTCTCCTCGTTAAAGCCGTAGTTAAAGTAGTCCGTGATGTCCGCGCCCGGCTTCCGCCACGGCTTCTCCTCCAGCGAATCGATGCTGAACTCGTGCACGGCCACTCCATTGATGGTGCCGGCACCCTCAAAGTCCTCGATACTGAACTTTCCGGCCTGACCAGCCGGCTTGGCCTTGTCGGCGGCCGTGCCACCGGCCAAGAGGTTGGGGCGCTGTTTGATGTTGAATGTGCTCGGCGCCTGCTTGATGTCGCCAATCACCACATTGATATCGTCATCCGAGTCATCGTCATCGTCCTCGTCGGAGCCAGAACCATTGCGCTCCTTCCTGGCCGGAGCCTCGTCCATTTCCTCGTCTTCGTCCTGGTCCGGCGGCGTTCTCGTCTCCTCCCTGTCTTCGTCTCGCCCTCTCGCATGGTGGTCGGTGGTGTCCGGCAGCGCCTCTTCGTCCTCCTCCATCTCCTCTGCGGGATCATCGAATTCGCTGTACTCGGGCACCTCCTCCTTGGTGAAGCCGGGCAGCAGGGAGGGTGCACTGGAGCCCGGCTTGTCGCCAGCCACCACGGCGGCCAGGGCCTGAGCCTCGTGTTCGGCCGCCAGCGCATCGTCGCCGTTGCCAATCTCGTTTGTGGTGGAGTCCGGATTCGAGGTGCCGTACAGCCAGCTATCCTCGTTCGCATCATCAGCCATACTTTTGTTTGTTATTTCGATGGTTTCTTGTTAAAATTCCATGCGAAAAACCAAAATTTTCACTTAAAACAAAATTGAAGCCGATCAACACGATATATATCACATACAATGCGATACATGTTTCCCACCTCTATGGCAGCACATAAACAAAACCACATCGCAACTGTCTGGCAACATCGCATATGAGCGATAACGATACTTTCAGTGTTACCGCCTATATCCAAAAGACAAATACCATAAATGAAGCTACATTTTTAGGCGCCAGTTTTTGAAATATATTTATAATGTTTTTAATATATCCCTGACTACTGTTCGAAACATGCAGGACAAAGCACAATCGAAACGGCGTAGACAGAGCTGTCGCAGCCCCAGTAGCAGCTGTCCAAAGCGCAAATAGTTCGACTGATGCAGAGTGTAACGCGCGAGAGACATTAAAGCGCCATTCGAGTGGGTCGCCAGGATAATGGCATAGTCCGCACTCAGAGCTAGTTCTGGAAGGGACAGGGAATGTTGTATACATTTCATCCAATCACTGGAGCAGTGCTTACCTTTCCTGCACAGTATAAGCGTCTCTAGGAAGTTCAATTCCAAGACATCGGCTCTGAGCTGTTGGGCCTCGTAGATAAGTCGTTTCAGCTGGTCATCGCCACAGGCATCGATCATGGCACTAATGTCCAGCGACCAGTGCGAGGCTCGCAGTATGAAGATTTCGCTCCACACCACCTGGAGGATGGCATCCTGTTGCGGCCGCTCCAGGCTGCTGAATTGCTCATTTGCCATCGCCTGTCGCAGGCAGGTGACCAGAATCTGGGCAAGGATCTGAAAGTGCAACGCCTGAGCACCGTTTCCAGAGGCAGCCCCCACCGTTTGTGGCGTGGTTCTGCGGCTGTACCTGTAGACAGCCGTCGACTGTTGGGTTCTCGGCCCGCGCTCATCCTGAACGGCCGCCACATTCATGCCCACCGCCAGACAACGCTGGAAGCGGCAAAAGGGACACCAATTCCTGCGCGCCTTGTCCACGATGCAGTTTCCTTTGATGGCAATGCAGGCGTAGCTGTTGCCCTTCCTCACGCTGCGCTTGAAGAAGCAGGAGCATCCGTCGCAGCAGGAGACGCCGTAGTGCTTACCCGAGCTCTGATCGCCACACACTTCACAGGAGCTGAACATCGACATGGTGCGCCGTCTGGTATCCAACTGACATGGAACATCCTCGATATTGATGGCTTTATACCATCAGAGGAACTCCCCCAGAACCCAAAGAACATCGACATACCCCCACAAATGATATGCAAATCAAAGACGAGTGCATTGTGGTAGTATTTCAACATGATTTGAGGTTTTTTTTCGCTATTTACTCGACAGGGATAAGCCGTATGCCGAGTCGCGGAGGTGGAGGCGTGGGTGTGGGCGTGGCGTGTCAAAAGTGACAATCATTCCGCAGCGTGTTAACAATTTGTAAACAATTATTGTTTTGCTCTATGATTGGTCGCGCGTCGGCCACTCGAAATGTCCGAACAGAGGTCCTTTGTGCTGACATTTTGGGTAAACATTGAAGGGCGACATCCTTATGGGGGTGGGTGGCAATGGTGGGGTTGGGTTTCGGTTTTAACTGTTTGGTTGCTTTGCAAATAAACTTATTTTCAACGCTAATAACTTATTTATACGTTGACCATAAGCTTTTTCAATAAAGACTTAAATTAGTTATGAATTTCAGTGGAAATAACAAATTCAAATTCCAAAATGTTCAAACAATCGTTATAAGCACTTTTTGGTATATTTTTAAGCTTTGGTATTTTGTTGTTTCTATGGTATAACATAATAATACTTCAGACGAAAAAATTAGTGGTTGTTTGAAAGCGTTGAGAAATGGGAATTGGGTACATTTTAGAAAGTACATAGCATCTACATTAAGTAGAAAAAACATTGAGTAAATTAGATCTGGCTTAAATGGGTTAACTACAAGATTGCTCCTAAATATATTTAATAAAGGCGAAGGTGTATTTCGATATATTAAATAGGGTCACACGGTATATTTCTTCGATAAATCCGTGGTCACACTGTTGCTGCCGTCTTCTAATTTTTTTTATAAACAGCGGAAAATGTAAATAATATATATTAAAACAAAAAACAAAACATAGCGGCGGAAAAGCGCGCGCGTTGTTAACAATTCGCAACCGTTCCATTGGGTCTTATGCACTGATATTAGTGGAACATCAAATGGTTTTCTTGCTGCTACTTATGCTGCTCCCGTGTCGGATATTACACGACAACCAACGCTAAAGAAAACGGGAAAAACAATACCCACTGTGTGTGTGTGTGTGTGTGCAGTGAAGTGTTGTTGAGTGCTTAAGGAAAACTTCAAGAAATCCACGAAAAAAGAAGGCCTGCAGTGCTGGCAGCACAGCAGTGCACCGCAACGAAAGCGACAGATTGCAGGGTACACTTCGAGCGAAGCGGCATACAGGGTGTTACCGAAGACTTACCTGCAGTGAGTCCCCATTCCCATTTAGAGTGTCGTGTGAGGGTAGGGAAGGAGAGAGTGTTTCATTCATAAAAAAGAGTACATTGCAAGTCCAATTGGTCTGGCTTCTGACTCACACTGAAAGGAGGTTCCACAAGCACACATACGCACACATGTGCATTGATTTTTCCAACACATTCTGCCTCCCCCTCTATTCGACAACTTGTGTGTGCGTGTGCGGGATGGGATCTATGTTTTCTTTGAGATATGCTCCGGAAAATGCCATGGAAAGCACCGATTCAAGTGGTTTTCGTTTTAAGATTAACACATTGCTGTTTGTTCCAGTTTTACGTGCACACAAATATATTTCCCCATAACATTTGGCATTGTGTAAGGGGAAATTTGTGTGTGTGTGTTTAGTGTACTGGGTGTGAGGTGGGGTAAAAATGTCAACAAGCTGCTTGCATATACAGGGTGATTTCCCCTCATCCTCTTACTGCATTTCCCCCCGCATCGATGGGGCACGTGCAATGCGGCAAGCTAAACGTGACAAAGCACAGAAACAGCAAAACGAAATTTACATAAACTACAATTTGGTGTTGCAACTGTTTGGCATTTAACAGTTAGCCGCGTCCTAACGGGGCTTTATTTATGTATGTTCATATGTACGTATGGTGTTTGGGCCTATACATTCGTTTGTGTGTGTGTTTAGTCCAGGTAAAAACGGAACAACCAACTTATAACGGAGAACCGTACAGAGAGGGATGGGAGGAAACAGACAAGCAGAAAAATATAAAAGGCATAACATTTCCGCCTGGTGCTTTCTGCTTTCGGCTGGCGTCCAAAACCCAAAATAGACAACGACGCTACGCTCGTCGTCGCCGCCACAGTCGCAGTGCCTCCTCTCCATCGAGCGATTATGCGTGACAAATCCGCGATGTTCTAAGCGGTACTATATCGTTTATCCCCACTGTAGGACACCTCATGTTATCCATGGAGTATAACAAATTAAATCATACTGCAGTATTTCTTGCCGCTGTTAAACATCACTTTATCTTCCACCGCATAAACATTGTCGAGAAGTCCGTATATGTTTGTGGCTTCTTTCAGCACTTGGAGCCCAGCGCCACTCAATGCACTTGCAACACGCCATGCCCCATGTTGTTGTTGCTGCTGCTGCTGTTACTTCTGCTGTTTGCCATTGCAACATGCACCTATGCTTGCCCCACTTGAGAGGCAAGTCCACCCTGGCCCGGCAGCTCCCCTTCCCTCTCCCACCCCGCCATCCTTCCTCACCTCTGTCACTAATTTAAATGCCGCAAGTGTTGTCAAGCTTCCTGTGTGTTCGCGTGTGCTTGTGTGTGTATGTGTTTTGCTCATTAGGGAATAATTTTGCATTAGGCCCGGCCAGTAGAAAAATATAATAGAAAGAAAAAAGTTCAGAGACCGCAAAAGCCCGCTATACGTACAGTATATGTATATTGATTTTACATGAACTTCAATAAAAAAGAAACAAATTCGATACAACGAAAGATACACGGTTAACCCAATTCTGGGACGCCGCCCACACGCTCTTCGCCGCCGCCGTCGCTGGCGCTCCCCAGAGAAGTTTGTTTCTTGATCTAAAAACAACATTTACCTATAGACGCGAATCGGGAAATGGTCTCTTCGGGCATAAAGCCAACAAACCTACAAAAACACATACAAATTGTTAGTGTTTTCACACTCAGCACCTCCCTCCTCCCAAGAGACCTCATACATACATACATATGCTGTTTCCCTCTCTCTGAACTGACTGCATTGACTCTTAACGCCCTGACGTTGATAAATGAATCATAAAAGCTGCGCAGTCGACGTCGCCGTCACCGGCAAAAAAGGCAGACAGGCGCCTAGCGATTGACTCTCTCTCTGGCTCGCCCATCATATGTTTTGTCTGCGCTGCCGCCCACATTACATATTAATGGTGGTGGTGGTGCCCCGGGGTAGCAATGTTGTTACTGTAATTTCTGCTTTGTTTTCATACCCATTAAACAGGTAATCAAATTAGATAAAGGGTTTGTAACGCATTGAAGAAAGCACTATAAATCACTACATCAGCTATAAATTAGCACCGAGACATAATAATTCTAAACACCTGTATACACACCTGTATATACAGGTGGCGGACATATAAATAATAATTAATTAAGGGTATCAAAGAATCGGTGCCCTCTAGTCATATTCTCTTGTATCTTTTACTGTAATTCCGAATGCGTGAGCTGCATTGTTTTTGTTTCGTGAGCTAATCGAAGTCACTCTTGTTATCGCATAACGTTGTTGTTTTTGAGGGGGGGGGGGGGGGGTCGATCGCCAGCGTAGGCGAGAGAGAACGCACAGTGGGCTTCACTGAGATTTGAAGAAACTCAATGCAGGGCATATGGGAGGAAGCATTTGTTTGCTGCTTTTCGAACACTGTGCGTGGCGCTCTTTATGGTGGCTGCTACACCCACTCTCGCACCCTCTCTCCATGCATGAGTTGTTGTGTTTGTTGGCTCTCACTGGGTATATGATCGAGAGAGAGAGAGAGCGGGAGGAAAGCTGGCGGTGTTTCCTTGCCGGCTGTTCTAGTGGCAGTGACACTCAACACTGCGGTGACAGAGGAAGAGCGAGGGCCCCAATACCCCCAATAGAATATAGTCGGATTCAGTTCGTCGGACGACCCATATTGATAAATTGATTGTTCTTGTTCTTGTTCCTCCTGCAACACTTGGTGTGTGTGTGGGTGTTTTAACCATTTTAAACATTTTTATGTGTGTTTTTTCGCATGCCAAAATAAATGAGAGCAACAACACGAATTTGACGTGATCTTCAAGATTTTCACATAAAAAAATAATAAAGTGGGCAAAAATTGTATAATTTTGTGCAGAATTCTGTGAAATATATAAGCAAACAGCCAGACGTATGCTATATAGCTGCGTATAAGTAGTAGTATATCTATGAATGTACATATAAATGCTCTGATGTATGACAAATTTTAAGTTTTCGCAAAACTTTTATGACTCGGACGCGACTGCAACTGAAGCAAAAAAAAAAATTGATAAAACAACAATCAAAAGAGAAGATAAGCTTTTATAGATAAGAAAATGCTGGAAATCTGTGGGAACTCACCAAGAATGAAATCATTTCTTGTTGTCTTGAATAAAACAATCTCCTTTCGCTTTCTCCCTCCTTCCATTTTCAGCTGTTTTCGGGCATCAGAACAGCTGTTCATAAAGAAGCTGTAGAAGACGACGACGAGTAGGAGGAAGAAGACTCAGCGAAAAGAGAAGGAAGTGAGGAAAGGAAAGGAACCACCACCCACAGAAGGCATGTCCAGCGAAGAAGATAAACCACCGGCGCCGCCCGTACGCCTCACCAGCAATCGCGGTGGCGCTGGCATTGAGCGAGTACCCCTCATGGGCGGCGGTGGTGGTGGTGCCGGGGGCTGTGGTGATGCTCCGCCTGTTGATATGCGACCATTGCCCAAGGGTGAGTGTGTGCCATAGAAACTGTGATTAGTATGTGGCCACCAGTGGTACAATGTGCTTCTCTTTTTTCCCCACCAAAGAGCCCGACGATGGCGACCGCAAGAAGAAGACGCTGAAGAACAAGATCAAAGGCTCGAAACCCTCGCACACAGACTCCAAACCAAACATTTCGTATCCGACAAACTTTGAGCATACGGTGCATGTGGGTTTCGATGCCTTAACCGGAGAATTTACGGTGAGTTTAATGGCTTTTATTGGATCGGTTTACCTTGGGTACATATTTATTATTATTCCATGTGCCTCGCCGTAAATTTTCATTTTGCTAAAAATAGCTGAAGGAAATCTCATGTTTTCATTTGCTTTAAACCTACAATTTGATAAGCTTTTAATGAAAATAATTCAAAACGAAAGAGAACACTTTCACATGCTAACAAGAACTGATTGCGATTATTTTTACTAAAGGAGTTTTTAAAAATCGTTTCATATCCAATGAAATTTTTCATTAATTTTGCTTTGCCATTATATAAAATGTACTCTGCCATAAACATACTACATACCCTATACCCAATACATACATTATGTTGTTTATCGCCGATATGTGCTCTTTACCGACTTTCTATTATTCATTATTATTTCAAGCTGCCCATGAAAGTAAGTAAACTCCACGTCTAACGCAATGGAAATCTTGCTAGCTCTTCATTTAGTTTCTCTTCCCAACAAACCATTGACTGTGTTGTGTTCCTTTCTTTCGTCTAAATATCAAACCATTCCATTCGATGTTCCCTAGCATTCGATGTTTGTATCAAGATAGATCGGTGTCTCATTAATTTTCTTTTGTCTATTCTATTAAATTAATCATTCCATTCGATGTTTGTCGATCGGTGCCCATCATTAGTTCCCATTACACTTACACTACTCAACCAACACAGACAACATTATGGCTGCAATTTCGTAGTGAAAATGCTTTTAGTCGATGTACCCTTTCTATCGGAATGATTTGGCCCCAGCATTGATGTATCCAAATTGCCCCAAAATTAAGAATCCTTACCCCTACGCCTTCCATACATATATGCGCTCTCTCGTTCGCTTAGCTTTTACGTGGAATATCTCTTATATTGAAACAATTTGTGTGTTGCCTTTTACAGGGTATGCCGGAGGCATGGGCACGTCTGCTGATGAATTCGAACATCAGCAAGCAGGAGCAGAAGAATAATCCCCAGGCGGTTCTAGATGTGCTCAAGTGGTTTGACAACACCACCAAACAGAGGCCAAGTTCCAAATACATGACAAATGCCATAACGACGCATTCAGGTGAGGATTTCTTAAATTCCTAATCCGGTTACTCTATATACTTAATATGTAATCCTTTCTTGTTTCAGGCTCTTCCCTAAGTCGCGTGAGCAGCAGCAGTCCCAGCAGCACGCCCACGGACTCGGAACTGCATGGCTCCAACAGTGGCGGCAATCTGATTGGCGTGCAGCTGGGCAGCATGACACTGGGACCCAATGCCAACAACGTGGCCGTGGCAGGACAAATGCTGAGCAATCACTACCAACAGCAGCAGCAGCATATTATCCAACATCAGCATCAACAATTGCACCAGCATAGCCAGCATCAGCAACAGCAGCATCAACATCAGCAGCAGCATCACATTGGCATCAGTCAATCGCATTCTTATAATTTTGGCGGCCATACGGCCTCCTCATCCACATCGCAACATTCATCTGCCAATGAGGACGATATGCTCGGATCACCGCAGCAACTGGCGTCACACCAGCCGCCACCTCCTCCGGTGGCATCGCGACCCGAGCGCACGAAATCCATTTACACGCGACCCATTGAGGAACTGCAGCCAGCGCCCTCGCCCCTCATAATGCCAGCAGCCCCGGCCACAACGCCCACAACTCCACTGCAGAACCATAAGGTGATGACAGCACCATCCCCGCTGCATCACAATAATGTGACGACGACGCTGGACAAGAATAAGAACAATGCAAGTAAGTGTTGTGCCAGGACTGGCTGCTATCCTGCTTTTAGTTTTAGTTATAGTTTTGATCGAACCTTTAAAGGAGGCCAATTCGCCACCTGGCAGCAATTGTTGTTTGCGTTTTTTCTTTAGAGGATTGAGAAGTAAACCCAATTGCTGGCAGGCAGGGTGTTCACCCATCGGGATTTTGTCTTCTGTTTTGTTGTGTTAAAAACTAATTAACTATTTTTCTTCTAAATGAAGATTTAATATATGTTCTATTATTGTTATTTGTATCGCCTCTGTGTTCTGTTCTGTTTTTGAAAAAACACTACTGCTTCTAATTGCTGCTAAAAACAAAATACACTATTTAAAACCAACTGCGACAACAACCAAACAAACAAACAAACGAAACAGCGTCAGGGGGCAGCTCGACGTCAGCAACAGCATCAGCATCGGCAACAGCAGAAACAGAAGGCACTGATGCAACAACAACAACAACAAGTTCTACCATTTTGTCTGCTACTAATCCTAGTTGTACTACCAGTCCTACTACTACTTCTACTACTTCTACTACTACTACTACTACGATATTGCAAGAGCAGTTTGCAGCCGAGTCAGCAGCAGCAGCAACAGCAACAATAGCAACAAATGCACCAACGACTAATCACCATTCTTCTGCTTCCTCCTTTTCATCATTTCCATCATTCCACGACGATGATGCAACAACAACCACAACCAACAACGCCTTGCCATCGATCCATTGTCCAACGCCAACATCGATGCTATCCATATCTTCCGCTCGGAACTCGTCGGTGCTCCCCATGCCCATGCCACCGCCTCCTACCACCATAACACCTGCCTCACCCACTCCTGTCGCGGACGCCGTTGCCGACGATGCCACCTGCCTGCACACAGACCTGTACAACGATCCCTCAGTGGCGATTGGCAACAATCTGAATGCAACTGCAGTGGCAGCGGCAGGAGCTCCACCAGCGGCCGCTGGCAATCAAATTGCCGTGCCACAGGCAGCAGCGGCAGTCACTCCCAACACGCGGGCGGCCAATGCCAAAAAGAAGAAGATGTCCGACGAGGAAATTCTGGAGAAACTGCGCACCATCGTCTCGGTTGGAGATCCCAATCGCAAGTACACGAAAATGGAGAAGATCGGGCAGGGCGCCTCGGGCACTGTGTACACGGCCATCGAATCCTCGACGGGCATGGAGGTGGCCATCAAACAAATGAACCTCTCGCAGCAGCCGAAGAAGGAGCTTATCATCAATGAGATCCTCGTGATGCGAGAGAACAAGCATCCGAATGTGGTGAATTATTTGGACAGCTATTTGGTGTCCGAAGAGCTGTGGGTAGTGATGGAGTATCTGCCGGGTGGCTCGCTGACGGATGTCGTCACTGAGACCTGCATGGACGAGGGACAGATTGCGGCCGTCTGTCGGGAGGTGCTGCAGGCACTAGAGTTCCTGCACGCCAATCAAGTGATCCATCGCGACATAAAAAGTGATAATATATTGCTTGGCCTGGATGGTTCGGTCAAGTTGACTGATTTCGGTTTCTGTGCGCAAATTTCACCAGAGCAATCCAAACGCACAACGATGGTGGGCACGCCATACTGGATGGCGCCCGAGGTGGTCACACGAAAGCAGTATGGTCCCAAGGTATGGATTAAACTCTACTCAATCTATAACCTAAAAATTGTAATTGATTTCTTCTTTATGCAATAGGTTGACTTATGGTCTTTGGGTATCATGGCCATTGAAATGGTGGAGGGCGAACCGCCATATTTGAATGAGAATCCGCTGAAAGCCTTGTACCTCATTGCCACCAATGGCAAGCCAGAGATTAAAGAAAAAGACAAGCTGTCCGAAGCATTTCAAGATTTTCTCGATCAGTGTCTGGAAGTGGAAGTGGAGCGCAGAGCCAGTGCAATGGATTTGCTAAAGGTAAGACTATTAGAGTTTATAGAAGATTTCAAAACTATTCCTAATTTGAATCTCTTAATAGCATCCCTTCCTGAAGCTGGCACGTCCATTGGCCAGTTTAACGCCTTTGATTATGGCCGCCAAAGAGGCCACAAAGGGCAACTGATTGTCAACCAAGAAGAAAAAGCTTATTTAACCATTACTAATGAATTACTATTGCAAAAAGCAGCAAGAACTTCTTCAGCAACAGCAAGAACCACAATAGCAAGCAACAATAGCAACAATAATTACAAATCGCAAATGATTATGGATTATTAATGATTATGATGGATTAACGATTATGATTATTATGATTACTATTATTAATTATTTATATAAACGTATTATATACATACATACATACATATTATATTATATTATATTCTATTATATATTCTACTCGTAACAAACAAAACGCTAAGAGAAACTGCAACAGAGTAGAGGAAATGATGATGAAGAGGAGACAACACACGCGTAGTTCAATTTACACAACAATTTGGTTTTCAGAACAAAAACAGACCCGACTTTTGGCCACACACACACACCACACACCAACGAAAAACATGTTTCCCAAACAAAGATTTTGTTATATACCAAAACTTAAATTTACATTTGTATTTTGTATAGAGAAGCGAAAAATTAGCATCAAATCAAGCATTTTGAATGCTTTTGAAATTTGTACACTTGAAAAGAATCATTTAATCATTTAAGAAAAAAAAAACATTTACTTTATAGTTGTCCAGATTTACATTATAAAACATTACAATTGGTAACTTTTGCATTTAAAAAAACAAAACAAAATATATATTATACGATACGATATATGTACCATGTATAAAGCACTACTATTGATTTTTAAATTTATTTTCCCATTCAATTCCTACAAGAATGCGTAAGAGAGGAGAAGGAGGAACTGCTTTGAATTGATAACTAATCTAATGACTAGGAGTATTAATGCTGATTTTAGTTTAGTTACCTAAACTGCTTCATGTAATAAATATATATATATTTTTTATATATGATTTTAAGTGCATATGTTTTATTTGCTATTCTTTTTTGTTGTATGCTTTTTTTGGCTGAGATTTTTTGAATAGATCCCCCCCAATGACACCCTCTTCACTCTCCAGATTTTGTATGTCTGTAAATCAAAAACAAACGAGAAAAATCTAATTGTAATAGAATTTACTAATTATATTTAGAGATATATAGAATACACGACAAACACACACACACACACACCTGTATTTTTGAATTTACAAACAAATGCAATGTGGCTTGTTATAGAAACAACAACAACAAAAACACCAACAAAATCAAACCTGTAGCAATATTATGTAGAGAGAATGATATATATGAAGAATCGAAGAAAATCAACACACTAACATTGCATTGATAGTAGCAACTAAATATGCGAGTACGAGTATAACTAGAGAATAAGCAATTAGCATGTAAACTGAACCATAGAGACATAACCAGCACCCAAAACCCCCCAGACGATGACGGATAGAAAGGAAAACCAGTTACTTTGTGCCTAACCGAAACCGTAATAATGCATTAAATAAGAGCAAAACACTAAGTAAATAGTACATTACATACGAGTATATGTATGATAGAAACTAACAGATGATCTAGACGTACTATATAGTAAAGAAACAAATTATAGAATAGTCAGTCTAAACTAAAACACCAGGTAACAGCGATAGAGAGTGGAGTGTGTGAATGTGTAGGAGGTGTGTAAGGGGTGAGTATACATAAATGGGAAGGGTGTTTATTAATAATTGATTGGGGATCAGTGAGAGCTTATGATCATTCAGATTTAATTACTACAAATAGTTACTTTGGGTTCAGTAAGAATTAAATTTTTCATTCAGATACTTATGAATTGAAATTAAAATATAAATTTTAGCTTTGGGTCATTTACATTTCATTAGTACGGATCGTTTCCCTGACAGCGATCTTTATCGCTCAATTTCCAACTTCCAAAATCATGCTAAGTTAGACATGAAGAACATTATGGGACATTAGGTCATAGATGATCATTCATTATTTATTTATTAGATGCGATATTTCGATCAGCAGATGCCCTACAAAATAGTGTGTGTATCGTCCCTCGTCCAAGTAGCAGACCATTTGGCTAGTGGAACATTCGTTAACAACCAAGAAACAAACCAAATGAAACATTATGATAAATGAGAGGAAAAAGAATTTTTTACAAAAACAGCGCATTATTTTCGCTATTAGTTCCTAAACAAAAAACAAAAACACAAAACTGTAGAAACTGGAAGATCTTTTCGATGGAGAGGAGAGTTGATTGAATGATAGAAGAGCCAAATGCAAAGATGCTGAAGGATGATGATAAAAAGGAAAACGAAGTCTGACGCCTGGCATTGGAAAACGAAATATGAAAATATATGCAACTAAAATTATGGAGATTATTGTATTGTATTTGTGTATTGTATAATTTATGGTATTCGTATTTACAGATTGGTAAAAAAAACTACAAAAACCGAACAGAACGAACGAATGTGTATGAAACAATAAATGGGTAGCAATGAACCGTGTAAGGAAACGATGAACGATGAACGATGCGATGAAAGAGAAATTAAATGGTGTATAAGAAGTACATTTAGAGATAGATTTATGAAATTGCAAACAAAAGATCGATATATATGTATGTATAGGTGACAAAAGCAAATCTTATATATTATTACATAAATGATCAATAAATATATATATATATATATACGAGTATATGATTGAAAATCTTGACAAGTGTCAGCAATTATTTGTTGTGTATGTGGTGTATTTTATTCATTGTAAATAATTAAAATATTAGAAGCTACACAGGACATAAAATAATTTAATTTATTAGATTAAATTGAATATAGTGTTTAGTGATTAGCGTTTAGGCGTTGTTTTTAGGGCGTTGGGGGTAAGGGGCTTATGGGCTTCGTCTGAGGGCCATAGTGCCACTATTTGTTGCGACGCGTCGATTCGGATGCTGTGGGTGGTGGCGGTGGTCCACGTTTGTTCAGCTCCTCCACGAAACCCAACACAATGACGTTCCTCTCCTCCTCCAAGTGATCGAGCACCAAGTAGCTATAATGAAGGAGATATTAGAGCTGAAATTCAGAAAAGATTCTATGTTCCAACTTACCGCTTATCGTTCTTGAGTATATCTTGTATTTCCTTGAGATGATTGGCATTTTCCTTGATGAGATCGCTGCTCTTGTGGGTTATGAACTTGCACTCCTGCAAGAGCTCACGCAGCGCCGTCTTCGCGTGCAGCGTTTTGTCCTTGATGTAATCCCTAAACTCACGCTCTCCCTTCTCCGAATTGTATTTGAGATATCGCGGATCTTCTTTAACCATTTTCTTGATCTCCTTCCAAGTGCTCGTCAGCTGTAGGGTGCCAATCTCGTCGAGCATTTCGCGGAATCTCTCGCGTTTCTTCTTCATCAGATTGTCAATGTGTACATTGAAGATTCTACAGAAAAGAAAACTAAGTATGGAATTGATTGATTGGTTTCGTTGCCTACCTCTCGCGATCATCCCGATCAAGTGGCTCGATCAGCTCCCATCGATGATCCTTGCGCAGCTGTCGCTTCACCTCCTTCCAGGTGAAGTCTGCAGTCCGCACGAGATCCGTCAGCAGGGCCGTAAAGTGTCCAATGCTCTCGTCCCGCTTGTGATGCTCACGCTCCTTGTCCCGATCACGCAGATGACCGGCCAGGGTTCGTTGCACCTCCTTTTCTCTTTCGCGAATACTCTGCTCAGCACGGAGCTTCTTTTCGCGTTCCTTTTGCTTCTGCTCGGCTTCGCTCACCCGCTGACGCGCCACTTCGCTGTCATCGCTTCCTGCACGCTCCTCGCGCTCCGAGTCGTCATGGTGTTCGCCCTCCTCCTGCAATAATATCAAAAATTCGTTTGGTAAAGGATCACTCAAATTTCTTAAAGAAAGAAACAACTTACGGGTGTGTCTCGTTTTTTGCTCTTCTCTGACTTGCTCTTTTCCTTCTCCTTGTCTTTGTCCTTGGAGGATTTACGCTCACGATCCTTGTCCTTGGAGCGACTACGGACACGATCCTTGCGACTCTTCTCCTTGTCCTTGTCCTTCTCCTTGTCCTTGCGATCAGATTTACGTTCCCGATGCCGCTCTCTCTCCCGCTGCTCCCGCTGCTCACGCTCCTTGCGCTTCTCCTCTTTCATTACGTGCAGATAATCCTCGAAGTACTCCTCCCGATACATCGAGTCCACTATCCTATACCGCGGATCCGACTCCAGCTTCTTCTTAATGTCATACCAACGCGTATGCCGCTCAATGTCGTGCCGCTCCCGCAGCATATCGAGAAAGTCCTTGCGTATCTAGAGAGTGTGTTTGTAAAAGGAGGAGAATGACATTTGACATGACAGCCATGCGGAAGAGAAAAGAAACAAAAAGCTCGAATTAGAGATCTGGCATTGATGCGAGTCTTCACTTAACCATCTATTGGCTTAAAAAACAAACTTAGCGCTTAAATTTCTAGTAATTTCTTATGGCTAACAAAACATAGTTACACGCTTCGGTTTGCCCTGCAAGAGAGGATGATTTTGGATTAGTTTTTCAAAGACGTAACTGAAAGAGAAGATCTTTGATTAGTTTTAGGCCCTAGCTGCGTGAAGAGAGAGAGCGAAGATCTACATGTAAAAGCAGGAAAGGACTTTCAGACCACAGAAAAGAGAAATGAAGTGTGTGAAAGTAATGTTTAGGGTGTAGGAAAAATACAAAAGAAAAATACAATCAAAAGGAAAGGCAAGGCAAGTGCATTTATGGTTACCAAGCAATAATCAGACCACGTTTGGCTAACTTCCGCTCCCTCTCTCTCTCTCTCTGTGTTTACGTGCTTAAAGCAGGGCCTTTGAATTTGTTTACATAAATAGACTTCAGGCCATGGCCGAAGCGTACAGTGTTTTATAGAGCTACAATAAATACATATAATAGTATACAATAAAGTTATATGTGAAGGTTAGAGGGGCGCCTGCAAGTGCAAAGATCTCCATGGACATGGGGACATCGGATCTCTTTGCGCTCCATTATGGGGCCACACAGAACTCTTGAGGCGGGGCGTGGGGATGGGTGTCTTTATTATTGTAAAACATAAACGGAAAATATTGGGTTAATTAAATTACGTATTATTCATACTGTTTGCTCAGCGCGCCGAAGACACCCTGCAAGCTGTGGCTCTCCTCCGTTCGCTCCTTGCTGCTGCAGCTCCTCCTTCCTCCAATTACCTCCTGAAGGGTTCTTCTTTCACTCTCCCTCTCTCTCTCTCTCTCTCTATGTACCAACATGATCTCATCATGTTGTACATGTTTACAAAATGCCAATAACTCCAATGCCATTTATCCGTTTCTGCTCCATTTAATTATCCATTTTTATCACATCCTCACATCACATCCTACATTTTCGGGGCGACGTGGGGCATGGGGCGGGAAGTGGAAATCACACCAACAATTATTCACAATATTTTGTAGTATATTGGCAGAACCGAACCTTTCCATTGTTGTCCATATAAAATGTCTTTTTGTTTTCCAAATTTGTTTTTTTTTTACAGAAAAACAAATTTTTAAATGGAATTCTTTTGGTTTTGGTTTGATTGAGAAAACTCACCACACAGTTTGCAAGCGTGGTGTGCGTGGTGTTCGATGGTGCGATGACGACGCAGACGATAAAGATGTTGTAGAAGATTGTTGTTGTTGCTGTCGATTTGTGTGGTTTTTGTTGGTGTCTATTTGAGTGGTGGTTGTGGTGGTGGTGCATTTGTGCTGTAATCTGTAGCTAGTTGTAGTAGCTAGTGGCTAACAGTGGTAAACAGTGGCCACAGGCAATGCATTTTTGTGTGGACACAACGGAACACAACATGGTCGTCGTCGGTCAAAGGGCAAATGCAATGCGTTTCAGGGTTTCAGTATCAGTTTCAGTTTCAGATTTGGTTGGGTTCACACACGTTGTTTTATGTTTAAAAGTTAACAAAAAATCAATCATATTATGTAAATACGCTTTGCATACAGATTAATATTAAAATAGATAATGTATATAGAATATTTGGTTTGGTATATAATTGGCATAGATACATCGATTCATTTGCATACGTAAGAAAGTTGAACAGCATCGGATAACCTGCCATAAGCCTACCTGTTCTTTTTTTAGCTGCTTGTCTTCCTTCTCGCGTCGTCGCACCTCCACAATGTACTCGTTGAAGAGGCTCTCGCGCTCGCGCACCTTCTCAATGGCCCGATATCGCTCCTCCTTGGCATTCTTCTGGCTAAACTCTGAGAAGGAGGATCTGCGAAAATAGATGGGCAGTGAGCAAACCATTCAGTTAAGCCTTTAGTCGCTCAATACTTACTTGCCATGCAGCCTGGCCTCCTCCATTAGGCTACGGAAATCATCGCGCTTCTGTCGCATCTTGTTGCGTTTCTCTTTACGCTCCTCTTCGGCCCGATCCTTGACATACTTTTCAAATACCTGTTTGCGTTCCTTCGATGTGAGCAGCAGATACCGCGGATCAAAAACAATCTTGTGAAGCTCCTTCTCCCACGTACTGAACGCCGACACATCCTTCTCCCGCAGCATCTCCTTGAACTGAGTGACGCGCATCTCCAGGGGTATAAGGGCTCGCTCCTTGGCCGCCCTCTGCTCGGCCTCCAACGCAGCATCCTCGGCTCGCTTCGATTTTGTCACTAAAATGGAAGATCACAGATTAGTGGGCGAGACACAAATAGTAATTATAGTCGCTCAATACTTTTCTTACCCATCCGCACGCGCTTGGTGGGGACCTCCTCGACACTTGACTCGGATTCAGTGCCAATCTTTATGACCTCCTCGTCATCCTCCTCCTCTGGCTCGACGTGCTGCACATCTGGCTGCTGTGCCTGCGACAGAGCCAAGGCTGCGGCTGCCTCTTCTCTTGCCTCCTCGCTGGTATTCTGTTCTGCTGCTTCCGTGGACTTTTCCTCCTCTGTTTTGAGCTGCTCGGGCCTGTCGTTGACGGCCTTGTCCACATCCTCGCGGTTCATTAGATCCTCCGGACGATCCCACACCGAAGTACGCGTCGAGGGATTGTAGAAGAAGACACGAGCATCGCCCGTCCAGACCACACACCAGGGCGTACCCGCAATGGGGGTGCTTGTGACGGGACGCGACTTGTCCGTCTGCTTGGCCGTGGCCGCCGCTTGCTTCTTCTGCTCCTCCTCCTTTTTCCGCTTCTCTTCTGCGGCCTTCTTCGCCTCCTTCTCTAAGGCGGCTGCCTGCGATGCCTTGGCGCTCTCGGTGTTCGCTTTCATTGCGGCGGCAGCTGCTGCGTAGGCCATTTGCGGATCAAATCCCGGTGGCGCTGTGCCCGGAGGCATGTGCATCATCGGATTGGGCAGCAAATGGGGTGGAATTCCGCCTGGAGGACCCACTGCTGGAGCCACACCAGAGTGTGCAGCCATGCGGGCCGCCTCCATGTCCCTAAGAGCCTGCGGCTTCTCCCATACGCTCTCCCCGCGGGCAGCGTGATAATAATACGGTCTGCCATCCGGAGCACGGTGCTCTGACCATTCTGCTGCACGGGCAATCACCGCCGGATCTATGACGCCTGGCTTGATGATCAGCGTCTTGGCGGGCTTATCCTGGCCACCGGGCGGTGCGTGCATGTGCTGCTGTTGTTGTTGCTGCTGCTGCTGCCATGGTGGTACACCCACGCCCCAGGGTCCACCGGGAGCAGCACCCCCCGGAAAACCAAAAGCTGGCGGGGGCATGCAGAAGGGTGGTTGGCCAAAGCCAGGAGGCGGCTGCATCCCGGGTGGCTGAAACATGGGCGGCGGCTGTTGACGCACATTGGGCGGAGGCTGCGACAAAAGCGGACCGGATGCATTCGGTGGGGGTTGGCTCATCAGATGAGGCGGTGGCTGGGATGTCAGATGCGGCACTGCTGACATCTCAGAGCCCATCGATGGCTCACCAGTTTTCAGTTCCGACTTAATGGCCGCATTGGGCGGCCTCTTGGCCATCTCCTCGACTTCGGTTTGGGTCATTATCTTGACAGCGGGCCCATCCGGACGTGTCCAGGTGGTTTCCCGCGTCACTGCATGGTAATAGTAGGAGCGTCCATCCTCCGCCTTGGTCTCCACCCAAATCTCTGGTGTGGCAGCAGCTACACCATTGGCTCCCGGGGGAGGCAGCTGTTGGTGATGTGTCGGCGGTTGTTGTTGTTGCTGTTGCTGCTGGAGCGCTTGCTGCTGCAGCGTCTGCTGCTGGGCCGAGTGTTCGCCGATGGGGCGCCCACTAAATGCATTAAAAGGTTTACTCCTTGAATAAGACCATAATTAGTATGCTTATATATCGCCATCGGGTGGAATAGTCGGCATCAGATACTCACCAAGTAACTTCGGTCGGTTTTTCCTTCGCTATAGCAACGCCGTTCGGCCCCTCTTGACTGATACTGCCACTGCCATTGCCGTTGATATTTAACGCGACTGCTGGCGGAGATTGATTCGCCTCCTGAAAGTTGACCGGCGAGCTGGCCCGATCACTGTCCATGCTCTCGTCTAAACTCGTTTCCATTGCACACAAATTACTCGCTTTGCACTTTTTTCGCTTTGCATTTAAAATTTTTCACACTTTTTTCTGCACATTTCTGCCGCTAGGGCTGTAAATACAAGCAGGTGTGCTTTCGATACGTCAAAAATCGATTGGTGCACACCGACAGTGCTGGAAAGCGGCTACGTGCCTAGAGATGAGTGCGATCCGTTGGTCTAAATATCTGAACTTAGCTAATATTAGCAAAAAGACTTAAATTGATAATCAAAGAAAAATCATACTGTGCTATATTATCAAAAACGCATAGGCATAATCTATGGTTACGGCTTTGGCTAATAAATAAGAAAATGCTTGTGAACAGTTACAGGTTCGTGCAACTATCGCAGAGCGCCGTGTAGTAGCACGGCCCCACCCCTCACACATTCAAAACCGATTTGTTTTTCCAACACGTGCACTCGCGGATTTTGTTTGCAATGGGGAAAATACGGAAAATAAAGACACACACCCCCGCCGGAGTAGGACTGGACGCCTCCCTCATGAATGGCCAGGACATTGACAGCGAGGAGGAGAGCTGCGGACCCATTGAAGCGATAAGTGTGCACCTCCAACGACCGGATGTCGAGGAAAAGCTGAACGGACTGCATTCGTTCGCGGTGCTGGCCCTGCGCAAGGAAAAGGTGCAGGAAATCTGTCAAAGTGACTTGGTCCGCATTGCCGCACCCATGCTGTGCGACAAGGACATGGCCATTCGCGACGCTGCCGCTGGAGCGCTGAGGAACCTTTCCGTTTTTGGCTCAGAGGTCTGCGATTTTCTAGTAGACAATGATATATTGACTGCCCTGCTGTCTCTGGTGGCGGGCTACGATCTTACGAAACCAGTGTGCTTCGAGTCGGAGCTGCATGCCGACATATTTCTGCAGGCCTCACACTTGCTGCGAAACCTCTGCGAGAGCTCCCCCACAGCCACAGAAGCCTTCAATCAGTCGAACTTTCTGAAGAATCTGCTGCTCTGCCTGGACTACCAGAAGTTTGGCCTGGAGATAGCCATTTCAGTGGCTCAGTTGGTGCTGGTGGTGTCCGAAAACAACTCCAGCTCGTGGAACCTCCTTGCAAATGCCACAATTCTGACAGAACTACTCAAGGTGACGGAGGGAAGCCACAGTTTGTTGTACCTGAGCGCTCTGGCGGCCGGAATTCTGTGCAATGTGCCCGCCTGCTCATCGGCCTACACGCGGGAGATCCTCAGCAGCCTGGACAAACTCCTAACGATCGACACGCAGGCGCAGCTGATGACCTGCAAGAATGAAATTAAAGACCTGAAGAGTAAAAACGAAGCGCCGGTGCTAGAAATCTCCATGGAGACGGAGGAAATGTCCGAAGCACAGAGCCAAAATCAGCCAAAACCCCAAAGTGAAGCGGATTCTGTGGTCAAGAATCTGGAGTATCTGTTGGATGCCCAACGTCTGGTGGCAGAAATCATCACCAACCTCGGATCGAGCGACGATCAATCGGGTTGGGGCTCGGACTCGGATCAGTCGGAGACCGAAAGTGTCGTCGATTTTGATATGAACGAACAGTCGGCGGACAATGATGCGGGTGCCCTGCCGCTGAATTTCGTGGAAACCATCCTACAGAACAATGTGGTGCAGAAGTTGTGGCAGAAATCCCAACCCCTGGACCTCGCACTGGAGAAGCTGCTCTCGCAGCAGGAGAACATCCGCGAGAAGGTCTCGAAGATGCGCGTTTCCTATCTAATTTGCCTGCAAAATCTGTGCAACGTTCTGTCCGTGCATGATCTGGGTGGCTACAATGACATCTACAACATGTGGTTCCATCTCGGACAGCAGGCCTTCAAGGGCACAGAGGATGCCACGATAATGGAGGCCATTACCTCGCTAATGCGCTCCGCCTTGACGCTACTGAAGACGCGTAAGGATCTCTTCAGTCAAATAACCGAAAATGATTTAAACATGATCATTGAGAGCGCCCAAAAGGCCACAATTATGGACATTCGAGTCAATTGGAACCGCATGCTCGGCACACTGGGCTGCCTCTTATCGGAGGCGCTCGTCAAAGGCATTGTCCAGTTCCTGCTGAATTCCTGTGCACAGGAGGAAGATCTGTGGGCCCTATCCGAGGGACTCGATGCCTTGATGGACATCTTTGCTGACGACGATTGGCCGCAGATCATTGCCGATTTGAATATGTGCGAACGCATCCAAACCCTCGAAGAGCAGTTCAAATCAAAGTTCAGACAACAGCGACGTGACCTTAAGGAGCGACGACCCACCATTTACACGGTTAAATCGAATTTTTCACGTTTTGTATATTATTTAAACAAAAATTGTAAACAATAAAATTCATTTTGAACCAAAGAAATTGCCAATTACATGGATCATTTAAGGGATTAAACTCTAAGCCAGAATTCCTCTCAATTCGCAATGATTTCTGGTTGGAAAATGTCGCCGCTGGCACCTGTGCTGGTGTTCCTTCTCCTCTGGCTGGAACTGCCACTGGCATCTCCCTTAGGCATTGATTTTAAATCGCTTAATTACTGCGATACAAACCTCTGCCCCAAAGGAGGGAAACATGTGGCATGCAAGGCAAAGGAGAACGTGAGTATTCCCCCCACAAAACAAAGAGAATGTGCCACGTAGGCACTCATAATCGTTGTGGTCCATCAGATACTGGGCAAGAAATGCTCACTGGATGCTGAAATACTGCCAATCAATGGCCAGCTACAGGATGTCTTGGTGAATCGCATAAATGAGATGAGGGATAAGGTGGCACGTGGCGGTTTCAGTGGCCTAACAGCGGCTGCTAAAATGGCCACCATGTCTTGGGACCCGGAGCTGGCCTACCTGGCTGGCTTCAATGTGCTGGCGTGTTCGCCCCACCTCGATGAGTGCCGGAATACCCTGCAATATGCGAACGTCGGCCAGTCGGTGGCCTATCGTGGCCTCCTGTCGAAGCATCGTGGGATGCCGGAGATCATCTCCAATGCCATTGGCTTGTGGTTTCGTGAGCACGAAGTCACCACCATGGATGACATTTTGAATTACATTGGACCGCATTTTGGGTAAGATAATTCTTGGAATTACTGAAGGCTTAACCACTCGCTCACTTCCCCCCCACACATCGCAGCAAGCCCAGAGAGAACTTTGTACAAATGGTTGTCGACAATTGCAATCGTGTGGGCTGTGCCGTTGTCCAACAGAGCAAGAACGGCTGGCTCCAGACCTATCTGACCTGCAACTATGCCTTCGCCCCTAAGTTGGGTCAACCTATTTACAACAGCAGCAAGATTCCTGGCGCAGAATGTCAGTCTGGACACAATCCCACCTACAAGAACCTCTGCTCTGTCAATGAAGTTTACATGAGGAATGTAATACCACCGCGTCTCCTGCCTGACAAAGAGCCTCCCGCAGCTGAAGAAACGGAACCTGAATCAGAGTCCTCCTCTTTTAATGAATCTGATGTGGAGCCTTACTCCCCAGAACCACATGACTTTGAGCCATTTAAACATCCAAAATATAAGAAAATACCAAATGGCCAAGAGGCAACTGTAGGAGCAGGAGAAGCACAGACAACTGCAGCTGCAGGCGGAGGAGAAAAGACAACTGTAGCAGAGGGAGGCGCAGAGACAACTGCAGCAGCAGGAGGAGTCACAACAGAATCGCCAGGAGGAATCACAACTGCGGCAGTAGAAGGAGAAATGACAACTGCTGCAGCAGCAGAAGGCGCAGAGACAACTGCAGTAGCAGGTGAGGCAGAGACAACTGCACCAGCTTCTGGTGGAGTAACAGAAGCACCAGCAGCACGACGCAGATCTGTCAAAAGGCGAAGTCCTCCACTCCGTCAGAGAACCAAAGTTCATCCAAAAAAAAGGCAAAAGGCACGAACCAATAAAGGGAATAAAGGTGGACATAAGACTCGTACCGCCAATCGACGAAGAAGCAAAATCCAACGCAGAGACGGGGATGGGGAAACCACTGTAGCAGCTGAGGGCGCGACAACAGTTGGAGAAGCAGGAGCAGCCGATGGTGCAGCAACCACCGCAGCAGGAGGAGAAGCTAACACTGAAGAAGGAGGAACCACTGCAGCAGGAGCAGAAGTAGGAGGAGAAACAACTGCAGCTGGAGAACTTATATCTGCGGCAGGAGCAACCAGTTTAGCTGGAGGAGAACCTGCCACTGAGGCAGGAGCAACTACTGAGGGTGAAGGAGCAACCACTGTGGCAGGCGTAACCACCGTAGCAGGAGTAACTGCTGCAGGAGGAGCTCTATTAGGAGCAACCACTGTTGGTGGAATAGAACTTACCACCGCACCAGGAGACACACCTGTAGGCGGAGCCACCACTGTAGCAGGAGCCACCACTGTAGCAGGAGACACACCTGTAGCAGGAGCCACCACTGCAGCAGGAGCCGCCACTGTAGCAGGAGGAGCAACCACTTTAGGAGGAGGTGAACTTATCACTGTAGCTGAAGCAACCACTCCAGGTGTCGGAGAACTTTCCACCGTACTCGGAGTAACCACCGTAGGTGGAGGAGTAGCCACAGTGGGAGTGCAGGCAAATGTACAGCAGCAGATTCCTCCGCTCCCTGGAGGTCAACCTCCACCAGAAAATGCTGTATCTGAAAAAGATAATATTGACGATTCCTATGCTTTGGAGGAAACGGAAGATGAAGTTAAAGCAGCAGAGAAAATGGAAAAGGCCAACGATGGGGAGGCAATAGAGGATAGAACTGTAATTCAAAGAAAGTTTGCACGATTTCTGGCCATGGTACAGAAGGCAAAGGTGCTCAATAAGCGTGGCAAGGTTATGATCGTGACCACAAACCATGAGGTGGAGTACAACAGCAGGAAGATGCGAGAACGATCGGCTAGAAGGAGAGCCGCGAGACGTCTGCAAAAACGAACTCGAGCAATCGACAGAGCCCGTCGTATGCGTAGGAGCCGCAGCAGGCGACATCGTTCCAAATCGGATTCGGGCTACTCTAGCTACCAAAACCAACTCAGGAAAAACAATCCACGTAGTCGTCGTCGTCAGCATGCCAAAACCAGATCCAAAGGCGATGCACGCTGGAATTTTGTGGGCTGAGTGGCTGCACGCATTGCAGATGCGATTTCAGAGCCTCCATTTTCATGAATGAATCCGAAGTTAAAGTAAAGGGAAATGGTGTCCACTGCATAAAATATTGCAACTTTCTTTTGGGATAAATTATTATTTTCTTGGAATTATTATTATATTTTCTACAACTTTTGCAACTGCATCGTTTTCCATATGTCATGCATGCGCATTCGACCCTCGCGCAAATGATTCATCAGGGCATCGACGCCTGCTTGGATGGGTGTGGCAGACCGCATTGTGCCACTGCTGCTTCTCGTACACATGGCCAGATGTCTTTGGTAACGCCTCTGGCTCTTGTATGACTTCTGGCAGTGATCGCAGTGGAGTGCCTCGCCATCGTCGGAGGCTTCTTCGTCTTCTTGCTTTTCTCCCTTGACCGAATACCGATTGTGGTTTGGGCTTTGGCTTTTGGGCTCTGTCTTTATGAGCAGCTGCGTCTTGTTCTTGCGCTGCAGCTCCGTCTGGTGATTGTAGCGTATGTGATTGAACATTTTGGACATACTTGTCTTGGTGCGATGGCAAATGGTGCACTTGAGATACGAGCGGTAGGGCATATGCTTGAAGAAATGCTTCTGCAGTTCGGATCTCTTGGTGCTGGGCTGGATCTCCTGGCACTGCAGGCACTTGCTCTTGCGTCCAGGCTCCAGGATCTTAAAGCTATTCTCAATGAAGTGCTCAAAGTCGTGCTTCTCGAACACATGCTCTCGCCACACATCCATTGAATGGACCTCTTTGCCGCACTTGGGACACAAAAAGGATAAGAGTTTCATCAGGCCATTGGTGGAGACCTCCGTATCGGAGTCCCGAGTGGGACTGGTCGACATTCGTCGCCGTTTTACGTTGCTTGCACTGAAAGAAGTTTCCGGGTCTGTGTGCATATCCTTCTTTAGCTGCGCAACCTCATCCTTGCCCAGAGCGTCGATCTCAATGATGACCATCTCTTGGTTCTTCTCATCCTTCTCTTCGGCTGCAGCGGCATCGGGATCATCGAAAAACTCCTTGCAAAGTGCATCCAAATCGGCCTCATACTTGGGCTTCTGTTCCTCCTCCTTGCGCACAATATCCTCGTACGCCGTGAGGCATCTGTCGAGGTTTACTTCGCTTACATTCGGCTTGGCCTGGGAGGATTTGTCCTCATCTGCCTGCAGATCAATGTCCATTAGGGCCTTTTGCAGCAGATCGTTGCGCTTGCGACCAGTGCCTGGCGGACGGCCGCGACGTTTCGGTGTCACTCGCTCGGACGCTGCCTGTAACGCAGTCGGCGTCGCCTTGTGGTTCTGAGTTCTCTTCATTTGTCGCAGCTTCGTCTCGTACTTCTCAATCTCGCGCATGTGTGTGTCCAGCAAGTGGCCATTGAGTGCCCGTCTCCGGGTGTATGCCATGCGGCAGTGCACACAGCGATATGTCTCGCTGTGCTCCAAGTGCATGAAATAATGATACTGCAGCAGGGCGATTGTCTTGTGTGCATTCTCCACCCACTTGAAGCAGATCTGGCATTCATGGTAGCGCTCATCGATTTGTATAAAGTTAAAGTCCGTATAGGTCTTCTTCAGATAGTCATGTTTCTGCAAAAGAATCACATTAGAATGGGACCATGGCACCAGGACGGACGGAACTCACTGTATTCAAATGCTGACGCCACTCCGCCTGTGTCCGGAAGGCTTTTCCGCACTCGGGGCATATGTACACCATGTGCGCCTCCAGGCGGGCATTCAATCTGCTCTGTTCATCCGTCAGCATCACACTTCGCGACATTTTTCAATTAAATTCCTTGAAATTCAATCAAAACAAAATTTAAAGCACAAAATGTACATCAAACATCAAATGTATGGCGATACTCCGATGTCGATAGCAGTCCGTGCCTATCGAAGTGCATCACTATTTCTGCAGGCAATCTGCCCATCGCTAGTTCTGCAATGAATTCATAATTTTTAAGTAAAACACACGCAAATATTTAATTTTTAAGCATAAAGTAGTAGTAGTAAAATCACGTAATATCAAAATTATCATGACAAGTGTATCCAAGTCCACAGTAAGCAAAACAACCCTTCTTTTTGGTTGATTCTTCCACTACACCCACTACCATTTCATGAGCAGCCAAGCAGCACCACTGCCAGTGGCAGCAGCAGCAGTAGCTCCACGTCTGCAGCGGCTGCCTCAGCATCGTCAAATGTCCAGGAGTTTAAAATTAGGGTGCCCAAGATGCGAAAGAAGCACCATGTGATGCGTTTCAATGCCACACTGAATGTAGATTTTGCACAATGGCGAAATGTCAAACTGGAGAGGGAGAACAACATGAAGGAGTTCCGAGGCATGGACGAGGATCAGCCAAAGTTTGGCGCCGGCTCCGAGTACAATCGTGATCAACGCGAGGAGGCACGTCGCAAGAAGTTCGGCATCATAGCGCGCAAGTACAGGCCGGAGGCACAGCCCTGGATATTGAAGGTCGGCGGCAAGATGGGTAAAAAGTTCAAGGGCATTCGGGAGGGCGGCGTAGGTGAGAATGCAGCCTTCTATGTGTTCACCCATGCCCCGGATGGTGCCATCGAGGCGTATCCCCTGAATGAGTGGTACAATTTCCAACCCATTCAGCGGTACAAATCCCTCTCGGCGGAGGAGGCAGAGCAGGAGTTTGGCCGTCGGAAGAAGGTCATGAACTACTTCTCGCTTATGTTGCGCAAGAGGTTGCGTGGCGACGAGGAGGAAGAGCAGGATCCGGAGGAGGCTAAACTACTTAAGGCAGCGACCAAAAAGTCCAAAGAACTTAAAATCACCGACATGGATGAGTGGATCGATTCGGAGGATGAATCCGACTCCGAAGACGAGGAGGAGAAGAAGAAAAAGGAGCAGGAGGACAGCGACGATGGCAGCAAGGGCAAAGGGGGCAAGGGCAAAAAGGGTGCCGACAAAAAGAAGAAAAAACGCGATGTCGACGACGAGGCGTTCGAGGAGTCGGACGATGGGGATGAAGAGGGCCGGGAAAGGGACTACGACACAGAGTCCAGTGAAGAGTATGTTTTTATTGTCATTATCTTGTATATGACGGCCACTTGTTGACACACCTGTTGCCTCCTCCCTCCCCACAGTGAACCAGATCCGGAATCCAAGCTGGACAAGGACATGAAGGGCGTAGCCGAGGAGGATGCTCTTCGGAAGCTGCTCACCTCGGACGAGGAAGATGAGGATGAGAAGAAGTCGGATGAGTCGGACAAGGATGAGGCGGATGGCGAGAAAAAGAAGAAGGAAAAGAACAAAGACGAAGCATCCAAGGACAAGAAGAAGAAGAAGCCATCGAAGGATGACAAGAAGTCGAAGGCAAACGGCAGCGGTGGCGACTCTTCCACGGACTTTAGCACGGACAGCACAGACTCTGAGGATGATCTCAGCAATGGGCCGCCCAAGAAGAAGGTTGCCACCAAGGAAAAAGAAAAGGAGAAGGAAAAGGATAAGGAGAGTGCCGCCAGCAGCAAGCCATCGACCAGCAGCAACGCCAACAAATCGCGATCCTCCACTCCCACGCCAGCGAACAACGATGCCAGCAAACGCAAGATGAACAGCCTGCCCAGCGATCTGACCGGATCGGACACCAGCAACAGTCCCACCAGCACGCCAGCCAAACGGACCAAAAACGAGATCCAGACCTCGCTACCCACCTCCTTCTCTGGCAGCAAAGTGGAGTAAGTGCCACCCATCAATACCCTCGAAAGAATTATTGCTTAATTGTTTGTTCTCCCACAGGGACTATGGCATAACCGAGGAGGCGGTGCGTCGGTATCTCAAGCGCAAGCCCTTGACAGCCACCGAGTTGCTGACCAAGTTTAAGAACAAAAAGACTGGCGTCTCGAGCGATCGCCTTGTGGAGACTATGACGAAAATATTAAAGAAAATCAATCCCGTAAAGCACACCATCCAAGGAAAGATGTATTTGTGGATTAAATAGGCTGTAGATTATGTGATTGCAAGATTTGTGCATTTCAAGTAGCCATTAGATTTAAGATTAAATTGCCCTCAAATGTGGCCCCGCATGAATTTGATTTAGTTTTTGGTTTTTTAAATAAATCTATTAATGATCATTTAAATAAATATGCACTCTGCTGTGCATGTTTTTACATGCTAACTATACAGGAACTACACATTTCTTACATAAAAAAGCATATGCATGTAGTTATCAACAGAGACACCTGACGAGAAAATGTGCACGTTTGATGGTCCGTTTCGCAGTATTTTTTTTTACCGCTAGTGGATGCAGCAGCTATCCACTTGTTTACTTACACTCATAATTACCTGATGATGAATTCTATTTTTAAAACTACTAGCAAGCCTACAGAAAATTGATACATCAATCAGATAAAACTATTGTTTCAAGGCTGAGAGTCTTAGCTTGCTAAACATATAAAACAGAACATCAAAATCAGGGTATTTGTTTTTCATCCGTATTTTTACGGTATATTTTGAAAGTGAAAAGTTATATTTCCGTATATTTGTTTAAGTCAGACGGTATCTTTATAGTTTAATCACCGGTCACACTGGTGTGTGGAATGGTTAAAAAAAAATCCAATAATTAAAAAGTGCAGCAGTTTTGTATCCTGATTTTTCGATTGCCATGCTTTACAATTATCAGCGCCTGTGTCCTTGTTGAATATTACCAACGAATAGATCCTGTGCAGTGTGCTAGGGCAGCAGGAAAATAAAACGCAATTGTTTTGCGATGGCGACGAGTGCTAGCGACAAGAAGGCGAGCGAGTGCTGAGAGAGAAACGATTTGTTTGGTTGCAGAAATAAACCCCGAAGCAGCAAAACAGTGGCAGCCAAAATCAACAGAATTCCTGAACTAAACAATAACCGAGTGAGTTCTCTATGCGAGTGTACGTGAATAAAGGGCGAAATAAGACAGGAAATCAGCTCAGCTGCTTTGTTGTGGTATGGTGTTAATTAAGCAGCAAAACACACGCACACACGCGCAAACACATCCACCCACACATGCAGATATAGGAGGAGAGAGATACGCCTGACAAAAAAAAGCATAACAAAAGCCAGTGCATTAATTTGTTGTTAATAATTGAGC